AAAATCGTATTCAGATCAAATTAATCTGCAGTACAAGCTTTAGACGATCAGGATGTATCGCTAAACTTACGTGGTCTACCTTATTTTGGAAGCTGCAAGCGCATTTCTTTCTTGTTGTTTTAAGATGTGCGATATTTCGCTGCCTGTAAGGATTAGTTAGCTACGCAGGCGGTTGTATGTGATCATGTTTTTGTTTTCACGTCTCTGTACTTTCATATGTTTTATGGACTTTTACATTCAAGCCACTTCAGACACGATGAAAAACAGCAATTTGTTATCGTGTTTTTCTCCGCATGTTTATCAAAACCAGAACCAACCAGGTAATCCTCCAGAACGTGTTTGACCCAAAGTAATATTTTACACTCACCTTCGTTATCTTTGAATGGCTCGAAGTGTTTCGCAGTGATATATCCTCTACACTTTCCTCAGCGTGATTCAATATTAGAAGATCGATCTGAAGTTGCTTACAAGTCATCATCCAGGAATCAGTACTTGTGGCGCAAAGCACAAGCTTAGTGATATCATACCTGATTTCGATTACAGCAATATTTTGGTACGTTCTTAAGAATCTTACTCCTGTAGTGAGCTACAACAGGCACCCTCATAAACGTCGCACAAAGTGCCATACAGCAATTCTAAGCTCACTGCCCCCAACCAGATTCTCATCTCTGAGAAAGTTACGCCTTACTTTGAATTGCCGTCAATTTCGTTAACCCATCCTTGTATGAGGTTTTTGGCCAGCTATTTCTCCCATTTCCTTGACTATGCTAAGAAATCGGAAACAACTTAATGTTTTTTTATCCCGCCACCATAGAGAGCGTTTTCCGGGCGGTGTTTTAAGCGAAACGTAATTAAAACATCGGTTGTTCCAAAAAATACGTGTGTAGAAATGCCTAATTCAGCTAAATTCCGCTGAAAAACTACAGACTACAGATGGACGTTTTAAAAAATATCTGAATTTTCTGCTGAATGTGAAAACTACATAACCTAGGTGATTTACTGAATCTGTTGAAATTTACGAACCTGGCGGCAATCTGTCCATATTTGTTCAGGAGAAACTACCCTGTATTGGTGATCGTTTGAAACTTGTTGTTTCCAGGCATTTCGGCATACATACTTCGTTTTGAATTTTCTCTCTTGAAGATGAACAGTAGGGCGAATGAAACAACGAACTTTAATGACTGTTTCCTCAAGCACTGTTTTGAGGTAAATGGACAGCAATTAGCGCAAATTAAGTGTTCATTTCAAGTGGGCTCATATTGACATTAGTGCAGCATGATACACCTTCTTGGCTCTTCGGAACGGCAAATAAAATGATCAGCGACACGTTGATGCTCTAGTTAATTTAAATCCTGGATTGATATTGAATGCCATAATTCTCGGAGAAACTCCTAATATCACTGAGTGGATACCTTGCACCTTTACAGACAGCACGAGAACGGTGGATCAGGCGAGGAGTAAGGGGTAAGCGGATGCATGAACCAACGCATAATCTGTGCACAGGCCTATTGTGATTTGACTTATGTCATCAGAAAAAAAGTAAAGTGTTATATCTGCTGATTCGCCGACTTGTGGTATCTGGTGCTGACCCGCTCCAGTGCCTAGTGTCGAAAAAAAAGACTCACAGAAGGGAACACAACCGCTGTATTCCGAACAGGCGTATGCGAGAGCGTGGGTGCTTGCGAGTGCGAATGTACAACGTTCTCAAGCAATTTATTCGAAGGACACTGTCTGAACTTGATCCAATGCTGACGCGCACGTTTGGCTTTGTTACGAGGTTGTGACTTGCTGCCTATTGCGGGGGCGTTGTCTGACCTTGATCAACGCTGACTCACGCTCTCTGGGTCTGATACGAGGCTGTGACGCGCTACATGTTGAGGGAGCGTTGTCTGTCTGGTCAACATCTAGCGGAGCTGAGATTCTCGGTAGATTTTGGGCATTCAGTGGTTGCTTTCAGGAAGCTGACCTTCCTGATACAAAGATACGGCAATATTGTATTTGCAGGTATGGAAGTCAGTGGAGGCTACATTAACCAAACGTTTTAGGCCTACCCTCTGAACTAAAAAAGATGTATGATTTTCGCGAATATACACTCATCTGCAAACTAATTTGCAGGTAGGAAGTCAGTGGAGGCTACATTAACCAAACGTTTTAGGCCTACCCTCTGAACTAAAAAAGATGTATGATTTTCGCGAATAAAAACTCATCTGCAAACTAATTTGGTTCTTTCGAGAGACTCACCTGGAACCCAGCTGAATCTCTCGTTTATGAGAGAACATCCTAAACGAGAGATTTAGCTGGGTTCCAGGTGAGTCTCTCGAAAGAACCAAATTAGTTTGCAGATGAGTGTATATTCGCGAAAATCATACATCTTTTTTAGTTCAGAGGGTAGGCCTAAAACGTTTGGTTAATGTAGCCTCCACTGACTTCCATACCTGCAAATACAATATTGCCGTATCTTTGTATCAGGAAGGTCAGCTTCCTGAAAGCAACCACTGAATGCCCAAAATCTACCGAGAATCTCAGCTCCGCTAGATGTTGACCAGACAGACAACGCTCCCTCAACATGTAGCGCGTCACAGCCTCGTATCAGACCCAGAGAGCGTGAGTCAGCGTTGATCAAGGTCAGACAACGCCCCCGCAATAGGCCTGGCTACAGCAGTTTTCCTTTCTTTAATAACTCTGAAACTAATAATTTGTCTAATTTCCTTTTGTGTTCTCTTGCACGTTTTGCAGTCCGTAAGTAGATGTAATGACTTAAAATGGCCCTTCATCAAACTGTTGTCCTACAGTAGTGCCACCTGTGTACAACAGCAGTCATTGCTAGCTCAGTCATCTTAACTAAAAGCCATTTCTGACAATGGTTTCTCCAGTGTTCTTCTTACACTTCATTAAAGAAAAATAACAGTTTGGTTTCTTGATTTCCGTGTCTGTTGTGCGATATCCCTGTACAAATTTTGATAAAAATCTCCACGTAGTGGAAAATGGTTGAGCACGCATCGAAGCCACCGAAAAAAAATGTACTGTGAACCAGTATTCGATTGCTGCGTTCGTGGTGTGCAGACATTGATCTTCACATACGCTTGGGTGAAATGTTATATATTCTGATTAGGTAATTGGGTTAACTGTGTGTTGGATCACTTCAAGTCAAAAAGCTTGTGAAACTTTCCTTGGTGTTTACATTGTATGACCGACACTGTCGGCGTGTTGCAGAAAGATTCAAAAAAGTGGTCTACTTAAAAGAATCTTACAGTAAATCGTAATCGATAGTATTGTTATCCAGAATATGCTTGTGTCAGGATAAATATTCTAAAGCGGCGACCATTAGTTGAGGGATACCTTGATGAGTGGCTGTTTTTGAGTACCTTGTCATTGTTATTGGCAGTTTCCACGTTTGGAAGTTGTATCACGGTATGATTAGGTCAGATTCACCTTGAGATGCTTGTATGTCTTTTGGTGAGATCACGTTTCCACAGCGCTGCGAACAAACTGCTGCTGGTGAAGGGAAGAAGTTCTTCGTCGTGGGGCTATATGTCAGAAAACACCAACTGAACAGTTACAGACTAGTGGACAGGGAAGCAAAACTCACATATGCATCTTATTTATAAAAACTGAGTATCCGCCTTCCTCTCGATTGCGTCTTCCTGAACTTTCCTGGATACTCACTGACTATCACTCAAATGTAAACGAATGCGAGCGATTCCACAAATGCCAATAGACACGAAGCGGATTTACGAGAGAACTATATACTACTCGCATGCTTCATCAGTAGTATCCACCATTGGACTGGTAGCAGCCTCCAGTAGTCCATCCTTTGAAATGTGGTGGATGTACATTTTAGTTTCCATTGATTTAATTGATAAAAACAGCTTTGGAATTTTTTCCATTTGCTGACCCGGTGTAGTGTGTTCTCTCAGATTTTGTAGTGGAACCGTTAGCTCTTCGCTAAAAGCAGCATTGGAGCGCAATTGTAGGTTTACACACAAAACGGTTTTCAAAGCCCGTATGAAGCTTCTTTGCTCGCAATAGGAATAGCTCGACTTTTTCAAGCTCCAATCGCTTGTCCCATTAAACATGGAACAGCGAATATTTTACTAGCATCTGAGTTACAAACGTCGATATTCAGCCACGTGCAGCGGCTTTGCCACAAAGCATGACACAAGACAATCAGTGTGGTAGGACGGAGACCAAAGTAAACGAGTTTTTTTGCAAAGAAATGGAGAGGTAAAACAAAGCGACAAAAGCCTCCTCAGATAACATAGTAATCAGGAAACCTTAGTGGTTGGATCATCATAGTTTTAATGTTGACTTAAGAGCAACCGCCATGTATTCTGACACTCCCTGACAAAAGTGGTGTTTGAACCGTCTAGTTGATCACACCATTTACTTTAACGTAAAAAATGTTAAACCCCTGGATCATATCACGATGGCTTCACACATAATCCTTTCTTATTAGTTAGCTATCCCGGTTCTGTCATGCCTGTGAGCGAGTTCATATTATTGATTCTGATTTTTGATACGTGATTCTTTTTTTGCATCCAGATATGCATTTACGTCTGGCGTAATCCTTGGATTTAACAATAAAACGTGATTTGAATATGCTTGTGTCACAGCCTAGACTAACTGGGGTTCGTCATTTCGTCAGTAATGTTTAGATTCCGGGGCTGGGTAAACTGTCTGGTTAAGACGTAACAGTCCTAATGAGTCAGAATTCAGGTTAGTCGCAACGTTTCTTACCGCCCTGACCGGGTTCATTGAATTTCTAAACTCTTATTTCCACTGCCACTGAATTGGATATTAGACGGAACCCAAGCCTCTTTGATACGTGATTAAAAACCTTTCCCGCAGCGGTGTCGTTGTTATACAGTGCTCTATCCAACACTATATAAAAGCAAAAGCCGGAATTCACAGAAGAGGTCTTGACATCCGTCAGAGATGTGTAAACAAAAAAGCTCAGTGATTTTGTCATGCCGTCGTTGATCGTGGAAAGATAAACACACTACCTTTTGGAGCAGGAAACGGAGCTTGCTTGCAAATTTCAAACTCCTTATAACCCATCAGGACGCGCCCAAACAGGAAAAAAAGCACATGTGCAGACTGTGACGCATCCCAAAGCGCACCATCGGTAAGACGCGTCCGGAAAGTAGGTGAGTTGGTGTTATATCTACTGTTTCGTCGGCCCGTGGTATCTGCTGCTGACCCGCTCCAGTGCCTAGTGTCAGAGAGAAAAGACTCACAGAAGGGAACACAACAGCTGTATTCCGAACAAGCGAGTGAGTGAGAAAGCGAGAGCGAGTGCGAGTGCAAAAGTTACAACGGCCCCACGCTATTTAAAGGGGACTTTCTGACATTGATCCAGGCTGTCTGATAGGCGTTAGTGATCACCCATCAACATCGATCGTGCCTCTGTGAAAAGCCTGAACGCTGATCACATTCGGTCGTGCTTCTGTGGCGCAGAGAACACTCATCAGGTTTTACTGAATTGATCGAATGATTGGCTGGCCTGGATGCTTGCCGGCTTTCCAGTTGAGTTTTTTGGTGGAGCAGTAGGTTCTGGGCGTTCAGAAGTTGATTTCAGGAATCTGACCTTCCTGATAGTTGGAGACTCTCACCAAACACGGCTTAGCAAAGTGGGCCTGAGATTATTCACGACCGGAACACTGCTATTGGCTGTACGGAGCGAACAACTGAACGACCATAGTTGGCCATTTAGTCATCCTATATATTACTCAGACTCTCTGTATGTTTTGTCTTGACAATACAGCCGTGTCCCGAGTTCTCTGTCTTCTCCCTATCGCGTAATCCGACAGGCTCAGTACAGGCGTAACCAATAGACGGCCGCCCACGGTACAACATAACCAGAGGCAAGAAGAGAGGAGCCTGTCGACTTGGGGTCGAGAAGTCGTTCAACTAATGCACTCTAGCAACTCGACGTTCATCACCAGTGAGGACAAAAGAAACTTAATAACGGGAATTAGTATAAACGCTTACGACCATAAAGCAGAAGGCGTATGACGGGACCCTATACTTTCTTTCCATCTCAGAAATAAGAATGACCGCTTTAAATCAGCTTAGGCAAAGGCCGAGTTTGGTCACGTGACTTCGTGCACGTACCGATGGAACACAAATTTCTCAGGTCCGTTATGGGCTACACAGAGTCGAATGTGGGCACAAGACAAACCCATGACCGGCATTCCTAAACCTTATGTGCACCGTTTGAAACATAATATTGAATGATACAGCAAAGGTATTTATCCAGCTTTGACGTAAAGTTTCCTTACGAATGCATCAATATGAAACAGTATCTTATCATCTACGGTGGGAGAAAACTCAATGCTAACCTGTTTTTATTGATTAACTCTAGGAGAAACTCTAGAGGGAATCAAACGTTGAATCGAAGCCACGTCCCTCAATTTCAGGATGGTTTCCTATTTACACGAAAGAGGTGGATCTAATGTTAAGAGTTTTTTAAATACATTTTGCCGACGCTGTTAGTCACATAATTATGAGTTCTTCAAACATTTCGTGCACACATTTGCAAAGCAACTGTCATACGTGGAGATAAAGTAGGAACAGGAAGAAAAATAACTTTTTTAGATTGACTAACACCATAAAAGTGTCTAACTTAACACAGTAATCCACCGGGAACATTCAGTCACAAAGATATTTATGTTTCTATTCGAAACAAGCTGTGCACTAAAACGTCAACAGCTTTCATTCCTCCAGAAACCGCTATTATTGGCCAACTCAAAAAACGGTGAAAGCTAGTAAACTGATGGCTTTGATTTTATGGATGAATAGCCGCGCGGTAAGATTTCTAACGGAAACATAACGGTTACCGGGAGCCAAGACGACGATGTTCGACGGTGATACCACACGAAAGTAGCGCATCCGAGGTCATGCTGCGGATTTTAAACCAATACGTTACATTCCGAGTAATGAAGAAAGTAAGCGCCAAGACGACTTCGACGGTGATACCACACGAAAGTAGCGCATCCGAGGTCATGCTGCGGATTTTAAACCAATACGTTACATTCCGAGTAATGAAGAAAGTAAGCGAAAATCTCAATGCAACAGGAAGGCGTTCAGTCGCGGATCCAACTCTGAGTGTAGCTCTACTTGGTATGGTGGTCAAGCTGGTCAAGCATACTGACTTCTGTTCCTCTAATATGAAGTACCGTGAACCCTGTTACAAGAAGAAAAAACCTGGAAACTCGGTGCGGCTCGATAACTTAGTTTGGCCTAGCTGTTGTCATTCGTACACTGCTGACCAGCCGAAAATCTGAACCACAGGTTCTACGCTCAGGTGAAATCAGTCACACACACCAAACGACTCAACCTACCGGAGATCGCAGGCTACTGTGCGGCTACTTTGCCCTCTCCCGCGCACAACCCTATTCAGCACACTTCGGCATTATTTCATGTCCGGCCTAGTCGGTTTACAGTCCACACTTGTTAGACATTGTTCATCAGAGGAATAAATGGATTCCCACTTTATTTGAACTGCTGCGTTATAGACAAATAATTTTTCTTGCTACCCTATGATGCTTTCGTAACCAAGATAGGTAGTTGCCAGTCTTTATGAAGTCATGATGAAACCTGCCATAAGAACAGCCGTTTTCGTTTTAAGGAAAAGTTGCAAAATGAAGGACCACAGGAATAAAACCATTGCGCGGAATGTTTACGAACTACTTACAGTATTTGCGTAGCCAAATGAATGAAGAAATGTGGCTGGGCACTCGCTCTCAGATGCCGTGCAATGTTATTTTGCATTGTTTCACACTTGCATGACAAGGCCAACGTTTTCCAATGGCTCTAATCATTGCAACGACAAAATGGGAAGTCATCTCTCTATTGTGAAGACATGTGAATGGCTTTTAGTTTGTTGTAGGCAACTAACCTTCTCTATTGGTGGATACTTCCTCTTGCTTGATTACTCAGTACACGAAATATTAGCCTGTTCAGGCGTCTGCTGGGAAGCAAATGTAATCGATGCGACCGCTCATGATATTCTCGTTGCTTTGAGGAACTTCGACCTACAAGAGCACTGTGAATGGCTTCATTTGGTCGCGGTGATTTTCTGGCAATAGTTTGCTGTAGTCAAGCAGTTGCCTATATGTTGTAGAAAACAAGACCGTGCTTTCTTTCGTGTACTTACATGTGCTAATAAAGCAGAACCACTGGGTTGACGTTCCATGTGCGTGAAATCACGTGTGATTCACCGCCACAGAATTGTCCAACAATAAGTGGTCACTCAAGAAATACTTTCATCGGCTGGTTGGCACCCTATACACATTTTTATTTATTCAACCAGGTTTAGTGGGTAAAGAATGCGAGTTTGGATTATACGCTAAAAACACTTCAATCGCTTAAGTGCGCTTGTACGAAACTCTCGACACACTACATACAGCCGGTTTATTTGAATGTGTCCCCGATTTCAGTCGAGATACGCGACCGGGAACCGCCATCTCCAGGGGAAAACCAGTCACACTCGATTCTGTGCATATTTGCGTCGTACGATACGAGTTGGGTCGGATGAGCCCAAGTGGAAGCGGTGGAAGCCTTCATTATAATGAGTTTCAATTGTTCAGTCTTTTCCGAGACAGAACGAGTATGACCGGAACGTAGTACGTTGCCATGCTGCGCTAAGGAACCAGATTTTTGGTGACCATGCTTCCTGCGAAACTGGTGTGTTGCAGTTGAGTAATAAGAATCCTTGTGAACTAAACGCAAGGCTTTTAGTAAAACGCCAAAACGAATATACAATAACAAACTGTTTTTTGACAAACAGTTTGCATTCCATTCTCGGGAACTTAGTGTCCATCGGAGAGCTCCATTAAATAAACGGGAGCCGCTTGTTGGTTTTCATGTTCACTACCCGATAAAACTTTAACGTTTGAACCCGCGTGTAAGTTTCTTTCTCGAATGTTCTGTTGACGAGTGTGTGGTGTGGGATATAAACTACTGGATGTTTCCATAAGGAAAAATTTTCACAGGTTTTCTGAGAACTTCTTGAAAGCCCATGACTGGTTTCGCCTTCTTGGAGCTCATCAGGTAGACGTAGTCCCCGAGTTTCCGCCAACCCTATCTGACTTCGACAAACGCAATCATTTGCATATCAATTCGGCTTTCACGGGTAACGCAGTCGAATGACTTGTTTGTGATATTCAGGGACTGCACCTACTTGATAAGCCCCAAGAAGGACGAAACCGGTCGTGGTTTGTCGAATAATTTTCAAAAAACTTGTGAGTATTTTCCCTTATGAAAATTAAATACGATATCTCGAAGTGAAACACGAGTAGGTCTTTATGCAGCACATCCAGTTGAAGGATATCATAACCGAGAGATCCATTTGAGTCTTCCGCAAAATCCTAATGTTATCTTAATTTACTTAAAGAAGAAAAATATCACCCAAAATCTTTGCAATCGTACTTTTTAATTTGTGTCGGGTAAACATCGGAACGCCTTGTCAATTTGTGAGACGCTTGTTTGACACACGGCGTCAAAAATACTGTTTACAGTATACACAACGAAATGCATTTGGCATGGCTGAATGAGACTTCACGTGGAGATTCAACTCAGACGTTTGACAGACTTGACAAGCAAATGTCTGGGATGAAGTTTTGTCTACCGGAGTTATCATCATAATCTACATCTCCGACTATTTCCATCAGACGCTGCATCGACTCGCATTGTGTTCTTCCTTTCCAGAACAACTTCAAACAACTTTATTTTGTCTAGGACGAAATATTATGAATGAGCATTGCAGTTCATCGTTCCAAACTGACTCAGTGTTTAAAAGAAGAGGCACGACAAGAATATTTTATCAGCAGCAAGCTAGTGGTACCAGAATGTTGAAAGTGCTAAATTCTGACAAGACTTGCTGGTGAGAAAACCCACAACCGTTACATGCATTCTCTTGCTGTAATTTTTCATTTCTAACTATCAAAATTGACAATCAGTTCAAACAGTCTGCCCACGTATCCACGGATATCCTCTTCGTGGGATGTCGTAACTTCAACAGAGTAACGTCTCAAAAACCTACCGACGACACAACACGTGTTTCACATGGAGAAGCTCATGATGTTTCTTCTTACTTTAAGTTACAGTAACATAAATCTTTTGTTTTTTTTGTATCAAAAAGACGCTGACAGAACAAAGGAATTTTGATGGAGAAATACCTTGAGAGATGCTCCGCAAGGGGTTGATGTAACTCATTACCTTATCGTCTGCTTTACTTCAGTTGAATAGGCGGGAAACAATTAGAAACTCGTGAAAGTATCCTGAGAAGTTTGCCCGTTATCCTGTCCTTACAACCTGGTCTCACTCCTCGTCGCCATATAACCAGAGCCTGAAGTCAATTGAAAAACGATGTGAAAGCTATCAGCCCCCCCCCCACCAACTGAGTTTCTATAATCCTGTACCTCATGCGAATAAATTGGTTCCCAATACAAACAACAGCAAAACACCAAGTTTTGTTTTGTATCTTATCACTCTGGATCTTGTCACGTATCAGTGCTTGTTACAAGAACAAAGCAGTAATGCACCTCAGCAAGATCAGTGGGAACAAGGTAAAGTGAAATACGGAAATCGGACATTTCATCAAAAAGTACCTTCCGATGTTGCAAGGCAACCAAGAGCCGGGTTAAAAAGAACCTCGAAGAATATTAATCATAATTCATAACCTACACGTCCAAAAAGCAGCATCTTGATGGCTCTGGAGCAACAGGTCACTGGAACTGTAAGCAACGGTACTTGCATCATTAATTTTTATTATGACCCATCACTGTAGAATTTTTAGTCCAAAAGCCTGGTTCATCTAGTTCCTTTTATCAACTGTTTGCATTTTTGAAGTGAGTTGGGATGATCAAACACGTGGTACGTTGTACTTCCTGGTCAAATGAAGGCTCCAACGAAAACAAAGCAACGAAACATCTACGATATTGATTTGCATGGTAAATACACTAGAAACCTTGCCTTGTTTCATCCCACCTATCGGTATAATACTTTCACTGAGTAAAAAATAAGCCGATAATTAGTCCCGGCTGGCCTATAAAAGGTCCAGTACTGATCTTTGTGACAAGCTGACCAACGTTCGAATCACTTTTACCGTTGGATCGAAAAACGCAAAATAAACAACCACGCTTAACTGATAAGCCACGAAATAATCAAACCGATTGTGGGTTGTTGAAGAATTTTCAGCATCCTTTAGGCTATTCTTGGTGTAAATTTTAAAACAAGAAAGAGAAGCTTGGCTGCAAGTAGCCCTCACTACGTAGTGTCACTCATTTGACACTTGGATTTGCTGTTGAAAATGTTGCTACTTAGGTGGTGAATGCATTCAAGAAGCCAGATTTGGAGTTCTATCCTATCTATCTATGAATTCTGTGTGTCTGTTGGTTTACGATAATTAGCGCATGCATTTTGTTGATCAAATACCTAGACATGTGGTTTCTGCGCGCATCTACACCCGGAATATATACGCGTTTGTCATTGACGATAGCGCATCTACAAATATATACGCGTTTGTCATTGACGATAGCATTTAGATCTGGGGCAATGACAAACTTACTTGTCCATATCCTCGTATTGCATTGCACATTCACGGACGTGTATTCCGGTGAGTTCAACTGAAGAAAGATTAGCATGGGTTTAACTATGAGCCCAAATATTTACAATTATAAACATGTCAATTCAGTCATCTACCTCTCAGTAGGTTACGTTTGGTACGCTAACCTATTTTGGGAGCGTACATGTACTCTATCTTTGAAACTAATGAACCACAAACGATCGCTTGTGAACCAGCTTTGGAATATCATGGGGGGGGAATCTAAGAGAGGCGTTAAGTCTTCTGCTCAATAGGTGGGAAAATAATTTAAGCGGAATTTCTTCCATCTTTGTTGATGAACAACAATGGGTTCCTGATGACGGTCTGCCTCGCAGAGCTCTTTTTCGGCACTCCTCATCCACCATAGTGAATGAGTAATTTTCAAATTTTTGGCGTGGTGGAAACTCATTGTAACAACCACGCACTCATAGTGCTGACGGATTCAATCACCACTGACCTCTCCGAGGTCATTGAGCAAAATTATTGATTAATGAATACTATCCACGTAGGCTTGTGAAATGTTTTGATGGATGAATTATTTATAATCCAACTGGCTAAAGTTTCAATAGAGTTTCACTCGCTCAAAACATAGTGAATTCACCAACCGCTGGATTGTGTTTTTTCTGTGCACGAAGATCAACCGAAGGAGAGACTTGTCGTTGGACGGTAAACGACAGCCTCCTGAACTACGTGGAACATGCATAACAGGACTCGCTGAGTCCAACTCGGTGAGTAAAATGAGGGGATCAAGATGACGTCCTTTAGGACCGCAGATCAATTCAGCCTAGCTAGGCTGATACAACCTGCGTTGCACCAAAGCGTGCATAGGTTGCAACACTAGCCTACAGTGGTGGGATTCAAACTTCGCATTCCGCAGTAATTCTCAAACCTATGGTATGTTATTTCTACCACAGGCTCTCTTCACAAGCGATCGAAAATTGTCCTCCGCTATCCTTCTAATCTAGCTGCTCCCAAGGGATGGCTGCCTTCCAGAAGAGTGCTTTTTCTATTGGGATCGGCTTTCCAGATACTGACTTATGTATCCGAATGTAGTAACGGTATTTTCCTCAGCTTAGTTCTCGGTCTGAGCCTCCCAAGCTAGCGTTCACGTCAAGACAACCACCATAAGTGCATAAGGTCTATTAACGCCCAAAACGAAATCAGGAACAGTTGTACAGCGCTTCGTATATATAGCGTAAGCGGCTATAACTTTCTGGAATTTCTGACGCGTTCTGGAGCTCCATTGGCAACCGGCATTTGGCCAATACNTGACAGAACAAAGGAATTTTGATGGAGAAATACCTTGAGAGATGCTCCGCAAGGGGTTGATGTAACTCATTACCTTATCGTCTGCTTTACTTCAGTTGAATAGGCGGGAAACAATTAGAAACTCGTGAAAGTAGCCTGAGAAGTTTGCCCGTTATCCTGTCCTAACAACCTGGTCTCACTCCTCGTCGCCATATAACCAGAGCCTGAAGTCAATTGAAAAACGATGTGAAAGCTATCAGCCCCCATAAACCCAACTGAGTTTCTATAATCCTGTACCTCATGCGAATAAATTGGTTCCCAATACAAACAACAGCAAAACACCAAGTTTTGTTTTGTATCTTATCACTCTGGATCTTGTCACGTATCAGTGCTTGTTACAAGAACAAAGCAGTAATGCACCTCAGCAAGATCAGTGGGAACAAGGTAAAGTGAAATACGGAAATCGGACATTTCATCAAAAAGTACCTTCCGATGTTGCAAGGCAACCAAGAGCCGGGTTAAAAAGAACCTCGAAGAATATTAATCATAATTCATAACCTACACGTCCAAAAAGCAGCATCTTGATGGCTCTGGAGCAACAGGTCACTGGAACTGTAAGCAACGGTACTTGCATCATTAATTTTTATTATGACCCATCACTGTAGAATTTTTAGTCCAAAAGCCTGGTTCATCTAGTTCCTTTTATCAACTGTTTGCATTTTTGAAGTGAGTTGGGATGATCAAACACGTGGTACGTTGTACTTCCTGGTCAAATGAAGGCTCCAACGAAAACAAAGCAACGAAACATCTACGATATTGATTTGCATGGTAAATACACTAGAAACCTTGCCTTGTTTCATCCCACCTATCGGTATAATACTTTCACTGAGTAAAAAATAAGCCGATAATTAGTCCCGGCTGGCCTATAAAAGGTCCAGTACTGATCTTTGTGACAAGCTGACCAACGTTCGAATCACTTTTACCGTTGGATCGAAAAACGCAAAATAAACAACCACGCTTAACTGATAAGCCACGAAATAATCAAACCGATTGTGGGTTGTTGAAGAATTTTCAGCATCCTTTAGGCTATTCTTGGTGTAAATTTTAAAACAAGAAAGAGAAGCTTGGCTGCAAGTAGCCCTCACTACGTAGTGTCACTCATTTGACACTTGGATTTGCTGTTGAAAATGTTGCTACTTAGGTGGTGAATGCATTCAAGAAGCCAGAGTTGGAGTTCTATCCTATCTATCTATGAATTCTGTGTCTGTTGGTTTAGGATAATTAGCTCATGCATTTTGTTGATCAAATACCTAGACATGTAGTTTCTGCGCGCATCTACACCCGGAATATATACGCGTTTGTCATTGACGATAGCATTTAGATCTGGGGCAATGACAAACTTACTTGTCCATATCCTCGTATTGCACATTGCATTCACGGACGTGTATTCCGGTGAGTTCAACTGAAGAAAGATTAGCATGGGTTTAACTATGAGCCCAAATATTTACAATTATAAACATGTCAATTCAGTCATCTACCTCTCAGTAGGTTACGTTTGGTACGCTAACCTATTTTGGGAGCGTACATGTACTCTATCTTTGAAACTAATGAACCACAAACGATCGCTTGTGAACCAGCTTTGGAATATCATGGGGGGGGAATCTAAGAGAGGCGTTAAGTCTTCTGCTCAATAGGTGGGAAAATAATTTAAGCGGAATTTCTTCCATCTTTGTTGATGAACAACAATGGGTTCCTGATGACGGTCTGCCTCGCAGAGCTCTTTTTCGGCACTCCTCATCCACCATAGTGAATGAGTAATTTTCAAATTTTTGGCGTGGTGGAAACTCATTGTAACAACCACGCACTCATAGTGCTGACGGATTCAATCACCACTGACCTCTCCGAGGTCATTGAGCAAAATTATTGATTAATGAATACTATCCACGTAGGCTTGTGAAATGTTTTGATGGATGAATTATTTATAATCCAACTGGCTAAAGTTTCAATAGAGTTTCACTCGCTCAAAACATAGTGAATTCACCAACCGCTGGATTGTGTTTTTTCTGTGCACGAAGATCAACCGAAGGAGAGACTTGTCGTTGGACGGTAAACGACAGCCTCCTGAACTACGTGGAACATGCATAACAGGACTCGCTGAGTCCAACTCGGTGAGTAAAATGAGGGGATCAAGATGACGTCCTTTAGGACCGCAGATCAATTCAGCCTAGCTAGGCTGATACAACCTGCGTTGCACCAAAGCGTGCATAGGTTGCAACACTAGCCTACAGTGGTGGGATTCAAACTTCGCATTCCGCAGTAATTCTCAAACCTATGGTATGTTATTTCTACCACAGGCTCTCTTCACAAGCGATCGAAAATTGTCCTCCGCTATCCTTCTAATCTAGCTGCTCCCAAGGGATGGCTGCCTTCCAGAAGAGTGCTTTTTCTATTGGGATCGGCTTTCCAGATACTGACTTATGTATCCGAATGTAGTAACGGTATTTTCCTCAGCTTAGTTCTCGGTCTGAGCCTCCCAAGCTAGCGTTCACGTCAAGACAACCACCATAAGTGCATAAGGTCTATTAACGCCCAAAACGAAATCAGGAACAGTTGTACAGCGCTTCGTATATATAGCGTAAGCGGTTATTACTTTCTGGAATTTCCGACGTGTTCTGGATGCGCCATTGGCAACCGGCAGTTGGCCAATACTGGGTCATGATTAGCTGTTGGGTCCGGATTGTTGACCAATCAGATCTCGTCTTGATGCCGGACCGGCAAGCGTCCCGAATTCTGGGCCAACCTCGAGCGGGCCAGGCTTCTCGGCCGTAGCAGCGCCTAAAGACGTGCGGTATAGTGTGATCCGCGTGGATGCCTGCCTAACACCGAGATAGGTTTCAAACAAGTTAGTTCGCCAAAGCGAGTATCCGTCTCTCTTTTTTGTTTTTCAAATTTGAGTTTCGATTCCAATAAATGGATGTTCTATAGTTTTTTTACCCACTAATATCCTGCAGATGAACGCCAAGGAACTGCGGCAGCTGGGAAGTCCAGATATAAGCTCGGTAGACGATTTGAACTACAATGTGAATTATAACTCATATTTCGTGGTCCCTTTTAAAAGGTTGAACTCTCATTGCAGTGGAATGCCAAGTAGGTTTTGGGGCATTCACGTCAGTTGTTTTTTCATAGATTTTCTCTCCGTCAAATTAGCCAAATTGCGAAAACTAAAAGTACCTTATTCTTAGTAGGTCAGGTTGGATTAATACAGGAATTAGTTCTGCTCCTCTAAGACAAATAGAAGAGTGTTGAAACCAGTTTTCGTTTGGCAAAAGGCCACATCGTGCCAGTAGGTTCAGGAGCAAGAGGCATCTTTTTCGTTTCATGTGTTTTACTGTAAAACTGAGGCAGGAAAACGTTCCTATGAATCGGGTATGCCAAACGACACTTTTCAAGTATCTGGTCGACTGCGATATACAGAATAATAAATTTCCTAACTTCAGCGGAATCGGGAATTATGGGAAATAGTCCTTTTGTACACTGCTACCTTCGTAGAGCATGAGACGCACACACAGAGAAAGTTGTACTCCTGCATACCTGATATAACATATATATATATATATATAAATTGCCACCAACTCTGATTTGCAAAATATGAACTACTGCTATTGACCTTATTCTGCAGCAAGCGGTATCAAAGGTGTGAAGTTTGAACCTCCGGATGGTACACTCTATGTCGGAAGCTCAGAGACGATAAAGTGTTCACTAGATGCTGAACAACCAAACTCTAAAAATGGGACATTCAACTTGACGGCCACAGGAAATTATACAACATTGATCAAGTTGAATGTTGCGGAGGCCCGAATAGAACCACCTGAAAGCCAGCAGCATTACACAAAACCCGGTCAAACAAACGTCACGTGCACCTGGAATGAAACGGGTGGAACAGGAGAAGGACACCAGAAGGTACTGGAAATTAACATTTTGCGTGAGTCTTCTAGACACTCAAAGTTTTGTTCTCTCTACATACAAAGAACGTGGTCCATTCATTACTTGGTGGTATGGATTTCTTATTCATTTTCGTCAGACAGAGTGATCGTGGTGCCAAGTATAATCCTCAGTCGGGTTACAGAAAGGCGTAGGTTTAAGAGGAACTATGAGAGATATGTGTCTGAGGACCTTCTCTCCTAATTCCTAGTGAGAAGGGGGCTTTTGAGCAGCCCCTGATTCGATCCATCATGAGAATACTGCAAACAACTGGCCTACGGCCTGCTTGGTGAAAAAACTCTCCTTTGAAGGTGAGTTTCTTTCACTAACTGCAAGACTTTAGAGAAAAGGACCGCACTGCTCCCAGATATATTGTAAACTGCGTGCAATTTACAGATTTCAATAATCCTCACAATTAAAAAATATTGCGAGAAATAGCAACAAATCTTCTTGGGATGTTAGTTTTTTCATAAAACAAGGTATGTTAGGTGATGAACGGGCAATTAAAGACATGTTTATTGTAAAATGTTCACCGTATTTTTAACTGCAAACAGTAAAGAGGTGAAACTTATGCCGCTTCCTTAAAACCGATCTAAGATTTATCATTATTCAACAGCACAAATGGCGAAGAAACGTTATTTCTGTGTACAACACAGCAGAGGATTCTGTAGCGATTTTAAAGAACACAATTGCAGAGCTTAGCCAATAAACTGTCACTCTTTTCTCAGTCAGTAGTCTAATCGTAGCAGCAGCAAGAAATTTATATCTAGCTAAGCTGAACTCCTAGGGACCGTTTATTGCCTTCAGTTCCATGATGAGAAACACGGAGATTTTGCTAACATGAACCTTTCGGCACGTCCTCAACATTTTTTCACTTTGTTCCGGGTTGTGTTTGTTCAGAAAACGTATTTGAGGTATCGTCGTAAACAGGTTGCAACAAAAAAACAGGTACAGCGACCCTGTGGTAAAAAAGAATGGAATTTCGCTGCTTAATTGCTTAAAGGTACCGTAAACTTAGTCAGCATAACGGAGCATCATAATAGGCTTCATAAGGAATATATTCACGCGTGATCTGTTCACCATATACTGTGCCTGAAAATCTGGTATCGGTTGTCTTCGTAAGTGACAAGTTAACAAGTGCAATCTTTACTGCTTATGCGAATTATATTTTCTTTTGTGTTTCTCATTGATTCTCGAGTCTGTCAGTGGAAATGTCGTCTTGTAGATGAAGCCAATCGATCACAAAAACCGAGAAGCTCTGTACAGTTTTTTTTCCATTTTTGCTCTTCGAAGTCAGCATTGCACGCATTACTAGAGATCGGTGAGACTGGAAAATTTGCCAGTTGTTAGGCATGTCTTAAAAACGGATAAGGTCTGAAACATTTGCTACTAGTTTCTGTCCTTTTAATATTCAGGTCAATCTTATGGCAATTGTTGTCAAATTAGAACATAAATTGCCCTTGTAGATGGGTAAATACCCGAAAGATGTTTAGCCTGCATTCAGCAGTACATTGAGTTTTGTATTCTTGGTATCCATCTAGGATATTTTTATAACGGTTAGATGGCAACTCACAAAACCACTGCACAATTGGGACTTTGAAAAATCTTCAGTTCATTGACTTTCTCAGAAATGTCACAAGTAGAAATTTTAAAACATGTTAGCTCGTAAAATTATGGGGATAAATTTCTCACTTATCAGCTGATTTTGCAGTGTGATAAATCTGACAAGGAGGGCGTAGAGCAAATGTGGAGTTTTTAGAGTAGGCTTTGGTATCCCTTATAAATCTTCTCAAGTGAATATCAATAGAATATTCTTAAACTTCAGGCTAAGGTAGGCTAGTTGGGCAAACAGTATGAGGCTGCAGACGTGCGTTTTAATAAATAGATTCCTCCGTAACCCTCGCCTATTAAATTCCGGTACCTTGAGTGTAGTACGCTAAAACATAACTCAAAAACGATTTTTTTTGTTCTTTTGTCTCCACTGAACACTTGTGAATGCCGGAAACCTTGATCACACAATTTAGGGGATAAACAAGAATCGCTGCTGGCCGGCCTAGGAAGTTCACTGTTCAGGCAAGAGTGATGTGTATGTATACACAATACACCCCGCCACCATCCACAACACAATCGATGATTTATTGTCTCCTTCGGCGCTGACCCAAAGTAGTTATATATATATATATATGTATATATATATATAGTAACACTACTTATTTGAAGCATATAACACTTTCCTCTTTTGTATATTGTTTGTACAGATTTTTGGAGTTTAGGATTTGCTAATAAAGGGCAATCTGGTCACGTTTGTTTAAGCATAAACACCTCAGCCCTTTAAGATTTGACGACCAAGGTGTGACGATGTTGTTACCATAATTATCCCCTCCCAAAGAAATCAAAATTTGATGCAGCCAAATATCTTCACTGCTAACGAGTCTCAATTTGAAAGTGTGATCACGTTTTCGGGATTAGGTGGTAATAGAATTCATCAAATCGGGGAAG